GCTGGTCCTTTGCTGGTTTATGCCGGTCCTTTGCTGGTTTATGCTGGTCCTTCGCTGGTTTAAGCCGGTCCTTAGCTGGTTTATGTTGGTCCTTAGCTGGTCATGTGCTGGTCCTAAACCGGTCCGACCAGCTTAAGACCAGCACATGATCAGCATAAACCAGCAAAGGACCGGCATAAACCAGCAAAGGACCGGCATAAACCAGCAAAGGACCGGCATAAACCAGCAAAGGACCGGCATAAACCAGCAAAGGACCGGCATAAACCAGCAAAGGACCGGCATAAACCAGCAAAGGACCGGCATAAACCAGCAAAGGACCGGCATAAACCAGCAAAGGACCGGCATAAACCAGCAAAGGACCGGCATAAACCAGCAAAGGACCGGCATAAACCAGCAAAGGACCGGCATAAACCAGCAAAGGACCGGCATAAACCAGCAAAGGACCGGCATAAACCAGCAAAGGACCGGCATAAACCAGCAAAGGACCGGCATAAACCAGCAAAGGACCGGCATAAACCAGCAAAGGACCAGTTTAAACCAGCATCCCAGCTTCAAAACATACCTAACCAGCATATGCTGGTTTTTTTAACAGGTGTATGACTTAGAGATTGATGTGAAATGTGAATCTGGGTTGTATCGTACAATATTTTGATTTGTCTCATCTGTATGCTTTACATTTTTCATAGTGATCACAAAGTGCCATGAGAAAGTCCAACGTAACCACATATGTGTTTTGAAAGAGGTTTTTTTTGTGCTTCTGGTGTTTTCCATCATTTTAATATTTAAAGCCACAGGGGGGCGGTATTACACATTGAGAATTACTAATCAATAATAACGAGCTTAATGATTTAATTGCCTTACCTTTAAAATTTCAAATATGTGTCCTGCACTTTTAAATAATAAAGTGAATTACGTGAACATCAGGTTTCGGTTTGTGACGAGAAGATGAACAAACTTTATTTGAATGAGTAAATGCTTGTGTTGTATTATTCCTTGTAAGTTGTTTTGCATAAAATCATCTGGCAAATTAATAAATGTAAATGTTATTTGATCTTGTTCTGAAGGCTGCTATTGGTCATGTGTTTGCTTTGTGACATCATGAGTCATGTGACCTCACGCTGCACCTGTTTGTTAAATATTTGGCTCATGGCAAAGAGTAATGAGCTAGAAAGAACATTAAATATGTCGAGTTCCTCTGTGACTGTTTTCTTCTCGACTTGATGAGCCAGAAAGGGATCTCAGTCTCAGCAGTAAAAAAGGCTGCTTTTGCAGGCACTGCACATCTAACATGTAACTGAAGATCGTTTGGAAGATCATTGAACCTGAAGCATTGACGGGTTAACATTGTGTTAATATGCATTTTGATGCAACATGCAGTGCGGTGTTAAGATTATTCTGGTTAAGATGAAATGAAACCAGCCTTTAACAAACAAAACCCTAACAAGTGAATCTCATAATGTTCAGGTCACATTTCATTCCAAAATAAAACGAAAAGAGAAGTATGTAAATTCTCATTCTGATATTTAAGTAATATAATAATTATAATAAAACACTGTTTGATTTTTAATGCAAGTCAGCATAAATTTAAGGCTGCTGCGGCAGAGCAAGTACAGAGACTTGCTACTGCCAATACATCCACAACATGCTGCTGTGAGCATGTAAGAAATACTGCTGCTGCACATATAACACATATGAATAATATTAGCATATAGCATACATAAATCACCCCGTGATATATAATCTATTAATCATTTGTTCATATTGTTGCAGTACTACTCAATCTAAAGTGGAAACTATTCATCATTTGCAAATGTTTATAAATATTGGCTAATCATTAATACCTTTATGAGCAGTCATCTCAATGGCAAAAAGTGTCCCGAAAGTCCTGAATTTACCCTATCCACACATCTTTACTAATCATTTATTAATCATTTGTTCATGTTTTTGCAGTAGCTAATCTAAAGTTGAAACTATTCATAATTTATCAATGTTTATAAACGATTACTAATCATTTAGTATCTTTATGGGCATTGGACGTTTAGCTAATGTAACAAGGTTTGTGTACAGGGTGGCTGGTTGAGTTTAGCTAAATGCTTGCTAAAGACATAACAGATCGTAATTTTGGTGCAAACATTTTTTTTTATTGTCTCAACACACATTAGTATACTACTCTTCAGTATATCATTAAACAGGATATTCCTTGAATCATAAATAAACAGGAGAAAACATTATTTTTTAAAAGAAAATACTTGTTCATTTATCAAAACAATATCATATAAACAGATTGAACCGTAATGATTTGTTAAACATCTAATGCTTAATAAGTTTATTAGAAAACATTAACAAGCACATCATCTCACGTTTCTAACTCTTTGAATATATATTAACTAATGATGCATTAAGCATTATATAATGTTTGTGAATGATTTATAAATGAAAGTTATTATAAAGTGTTACCTTTCGTGCACACCATTTACTTAAAACGAGGAGTTGCAGTGTGTGTCCAGCAGCTGCTTTAAGTACTGCAGTGCATCTCATCCTCGAGCCATATTCACTCCACTCTTCCACCAGGGCACTTTCAAGATCTCACTTGCAACACATCTGGGAGTACATATGGTCACTTGTGGTTTGCCACTGCAATGACTATAAGCTGTATCTCCAGTCTCCAAGTAGTCTTAAAGGGTTAGTTCACCCAAAAATGAAAATTAGGCTGCGTTTTACTCACCCCCGAGGCATCCTAGGTGTATATGACTTTCTTCTTTCAGACGAATCCAGTCAGAGTTATATTAAAAAGTGTATTTAATCTTTCAAGCTGTTTAATGACGCTCAGGGGGTGTTGCATGCATCAGTCCAAAAGAAGTTAAATAAAAAGTGCCCATCCATAAAAAAAAGTGTCTCACACGGCTCCGGGGGGTGAACAAAGGCCTCCTGTAGCGAATCGATGCGTTTTTGTAAGAAAAATATCCATATTCATAGATCAGGATATATGTATGAATAATATCATTTGGTAATGTGTAATACTACATTTTCTGATGTGTAGCCTACATTTGCTCCTTCAAAGGGCAAGAAACCCAAAAATCTGGCACAAGTACTACTCACAAGAACATAAATAAGAAGGCAACAAAATATTGATTCGAATTGTGAAACTACTTTTTTTTTTAAATTCCATTGGACAATATTTGATTGGAAAATGTTCTGCTTAGAAGTGTTGTTTACCTTGGGTTTGCTTTGTTTTCTACGTTTATCACATGCCTTATAAGATCTTCACTGACACTGATGGAAATGCACTAACTTTTGAAACAATTTTTGGTTTTGGCAGGAGGAATTGAAACCATAACTGCAGTTGTCATTTATTTATATCATTTAACATGGCATTAATACTTTCCAATATCTTTTTAAAATCATATTTTATGTATGATAATCTAAAGCAGACTTCCAAAACTGGAAATTCCCAAGGGAGATGTCATTTGTGAATTGTGCTGATGGCATTACAGTAAATAACATAAGTCGAAAGTGCAAAAAATAAAAAAGTCCCAGCGATTACCCCAGTCCACCCTGCTTTCTCTTTGAGTGCAGAGAGCTATTAGAGGAGGAGGAGGTTCTATAAGAGTCACTCCTCCATGGGCTGGATTTGGATGCTGATGTGCTGCCGATCAAACACCCGAACACTAGAGCTTTCCTCTCATACTTTATCAACAACAAATCCCTTCATTTACTGAGGCCGAGTGGGGTAACATGCTTCATCCGTGAGCATCTGAGCGCAGGACTCTCATTTATCCTTCATTTCTATTTATTTGTCAGATTAAATCAACAGGTGACTCGCGTGATGCCCAGCCAGACTCTGCGCCCGCGTCTCTGCGTCCTGGAGAAGGGCGAGAACGGATACGGCTTCCATCTGCACGGAGAGAAGGGCAAAAGCGGCCAGTTCATCCGCCTGGTGGAGCCCGACTCCCCCGCCGAGGTGTCCGGTCTGCGCGCCGGCGACAGGTTGGCGTTCGTGAACGGAGAGCGCGTGGAGAGCGACAGCCATCAGCAGGTCGTGGAGAGGATACGCGCGAGCGCCGGGAACCTGGAGCTTATAGTGGTGGACGTGGACACCGACCAGCTGCTGAAGAAACACGAGCTGAAGTGTTTGAAGGAGTTTGTCACGGAGGGCGTTCCAGTGCCCGAGTGTGAAGATGAGGCCGAGGTCAGCGACGAGATGATGCGGGAAGACACGCCGCCGCCGCCGGTGCCGGAGAGGAACGGAGAAATCGTTCCCGTTCACCTTCCCTCGGTGGAGAAACTCAGAACATCCGTGAGCTCAGAAACGGTGAGAGATCAGCAGAGCGTTGATTCACGCGCTCTGATTCAAAAGTATCGTGCTAGTTTTAGAAGTCAAATACAGTAATAAGTAGGTTGCTGTGTTTTATACACTCCTATTGTAAGTTTATCTGACAGAAAAGTACACGAAAGTACAATGGTACTTATGAAGTGTTTAGTTCCTCGGTATTCTTCTGTATACTTTAATGCATCATGCTAACTCGATTATGAGAATCATTTACCATGATATAATATAATGGACATAAAGGATGTAAAGAAGAATGCTTAATTGTATCCTTTTAACACTTGTAGTGTACTTCAAATCTTAAAAGTATATATATTTTTTAAAAACTATAGCAGAGACACTTACATGACTGTTTCATAATTCAGTTAAGTACACTTTTAAAAAGTGTACTTTTGTAATATTGTCAAATCAAAAGATTTATTAAGTTTGTTGTGCTTTAAAGAAGAGCACTTATTTTGATGTGTTGACTTACATACTAAAGCAAGTTACTTTAAAAGTAAATAATTGCAACTTAAGCATTATAAATCGGTAATCACAAATATATATGACATACAAGATTCAATTGAAATGACATTAAAGTATATTTTACCATATTGAAACTACATATAAAGATGTACTTAAGCCCTACTTACAGTAAGTGGGTCAAAAAGCACTCTAAAGTTCTAAAGTTTAGCTAATTGTGTTTAATATAAATTGAAACGATACATTTTCATTTACTTACATTACATTCAGTTCACGCTTATGTATATTCTTTTTAAAAGTATATTCTCTCTTTGAAACTATGCTAAAAGTGTACTTCTTTTTTCACAAGGGAAGTTATGTAATAAGAATCAACCACTGAGAAAAAAAAAGCACCGGTTGAGCACTAATCTGAACATCTGTGGCATTGTAACACCCCTGTATATATCAAAGTACAGTGATATTACCACAAAATGTTTGTAAATATACTAGCACATTCATGCAAGTTTATACTAAAATAACTAGTTGTCTCGTATAACCCACCAATAAAGTACTATAGTACCATGCAAATACAGTACATTGTGAATGAATATGGTACTTGTTTATCAAAGTAATCACCTTAACATGGTACTGCCACAGTACTTTTTGTAACGGTTAAACTTAAAGGGTTACTCCACCCCAAAATGAAAACTTTGTCATTAATCACTTACCCCCATGTCGTTCCAAAGCCGTAAAAGCTTCGTTCGTCTTCGGAACACAATTTAAGATATTTTGGATGAAAACCAGGAGGCTTGTGACTGTCCCATTGACTGCCAAGTAAATTTCACTCTCAAGAAAAGTATGAAAAGCATCGTCAGAATAGTCCATCTGCCATCAGTGGTTCAACCGTAACGTTATGAAGCGACGAGAATACTTTTTGTATGCGAAGAAAACAAAAATAACAACTTTATTCAACAATTCGTCTCCTCTGTGTCTCTCCGCATCACCGTAGCGCCATTTTGGAGAATATGCGCTAAATGCAAGCAGCGTTTGCTGTTCTGTGTCAGCCGCGACACAAGGATATGTTTTCTACGTGTATTTACGCTTTGATTTGAATGAAAACAGCGCATCCGTGTGGCGCGGCTGACACAGAAGAGCGTACGCTGCTTGCATTTAGCACATATTCTCTAAAATGGTGCTACGGTGATGCGGAGAGACACAGAGGAGACGAATTGTTGAATAAAGTTGTTATTTTTGTTTTCTTCACGTACAAAAAGTATTCTCGTCGCTTTATAATGTTACAGTTGAACCACTGATGACAGATGGACTATTCTGACGATGTCTTTCATACTTTTCTGGACCTTGACAGTGTAAGTTACTTGGCAGTCAATGGGACAGTCACAAGCCTCCTGGTTTTCATCCAAAATATCTTAAATTGTGTTCCAAAGACGAACGAAGCTTTTACGGCTTTGGAACGACATGGGGGTAAGTGATTAATGACAAAGTTTTCATTTTGGGGTGGAGTAACCCTTTCACCCTAAACTCTAATCCTAACACTAACCTTTGTCTCTATAATTAGTCATGCTTAATTCACAGAAATGTCTCATTAAATCCACTAAGTCAGTTCAATTCGATTTATTTTTTGTTCATATGTGCAGTTGAAAAATTGCTTTGTACTCCTCAAGCAATTATAACAGTGTGCAATGACAACTGTGAAATACACAACTACACACTGTAGCGCACTTGGCAGATCACATACCTAGGGGTGGCTGGCGTGTTTGAGGAGAACGTCCTCCACAGGAAGACAGTTAGTTCTCACAGAAGACAAACAACTCCATTCAGCCTCGTTCCAGAGTAAACACAATTTCACACCACAACCGATCACACAGTTCCAGGATGTCTTGAGAACATTGTTACCTGGAACACCATCATTTAAAGCTGCTCACCTGATGAACAGATCATCTGTGTGTTTCAGAGCTGAAGGATTATATTTTGCTCAGATGAAGTGCAGCTGTCTGAGAAAGCTCTTGTTGTGTTTTTCTCACGCATGGCTCTATTTTCTGTTCAGACGGTTGTAACCGCGCTATCTTGTGTGTGTGTGTGTGTGTGTACTGCTCTCATGATAATGATTTGCACATCACTCAAGGAGGAAAAAGGCCAGACTCCTCAACAGCTGGCCTCCCCATGGTGACAGTCCTGTTTACCGCCTAAACCCCCTTTTCATTCTCTTGTCATCTGCATAACCAAATTACCCATAATGCCCTTCTGGCATTGTGCTCTCAGTGTGTGGATGTGTTCTGCACCTGTAGTGATCTACTGTGTAGTGTAGTGATGCACTAGTCTAAACAGTCTGATCGGATGAGGGCAGGTATGTATGAGGGGCGCCAGGAGAGAATGTCTTCTCTGAGGGTCACATTGACAATTTTGGCTTCATCCTGAAAGAAAAGTAGGTTTATGATACATCAGAGAGAATATGTTAAAGGGGTCATATGATGCGATTTCAAGTTTTCCTTTCTCTTTGGAGTGTTACAAGCTGTTCGTGAATAGATAAGATCCCTAAAGTTGCAAAGACTAAAGTCTCAAACCCAAAGAGATATTCCTTATAAAAGTTAAGACGCGTCCACGCCCCCTAAAACCCCTCGTTTAAACACGCCCCCACATGTCTACGTCACTGTGTGGGAAGATTTGCATAACGCCGCCCAAATGTTCACGCAAAGAAAGAAGGCGTAACTTTTATTCTCACTGTAGTATTGTTGCCGCCGCCATGTCGTGAAGACGCTGTGTGTTTCGTTGTGAAAGCGAAACTACTTTGTTTGGTCTTCCAAAAGAGGACACGACTAGAAATCAGTGGTTAAGTTGTATTTACAACACTGTTCCAGAACACTTCAACCCAAATATTCAGATGTGTGAAGCACATTTTATGGAGGACTGTTTCCTGATCCTGGGAGAGTAGACTACAATGCCGGCTGTTCTGACTCACAGACTGTAAGTACGTTTTCATATTTAAAGGATTTCCCACTGACGATTCAAACGTGAGTTTTGGGCAGTGTAGCACTTGTTGTTTGTCATTTCTCCGATCACAAATGCAGACATGGTTTTATGTTTACGCGGCGCGATGCAACGATGGTTTTATGTTTATGCGGCGCGATGCAAAGCAACGCGTAAAAAGACAGTATAAGTCATTATAATCAGTAATTATGTCCCCACTGGATGCAACAAATGCCTCGTTTATAATGGGTTTTAATGTTTATGTCTCGTCGCTCCGGCCGGACAGGGCATCATCACAGTACGGTGAGGGGCGTAACATTTCCGTCACACGCTTGAGGTATTCGGCCAATCACAACGTACTAGATAGCTGGCCAATCAGAGCACACCTCGCTTTTCAGAGCTTTGTAAAAATCGATGCGTTTCAGAAAGGCGGGGCATAGAGGAGAAACAATAATGTACAGTATGTGGAAAATAATGTGTTTTTTTAACCTTAAACCACATTTCGTTACACCAAATACACAAAATAACTTTTTTAGCAACGTCATATGACCCCTTTAAATTATACTTTAAACAATATAAGCCTCCAGTCTAGTTATGTTGGTTAATTTTACTTGACAAACTGTACTTTTTGTACTATATGGGTATATATACCCATAGCTGATGATGAAAAATATTCCATATAGTTTCTTTAAAAACATGTGATTGTTACTCCTCTTAGAGCTTCCCTAGAGCTTTTGTCCATCAAATCCAATCTATCTGTCTGTCAACTGCCTAGTAACCTCTCAGAACACCTTAGCAACCGCTAATCAACCCCTGCCTAGCAAACACTTTAGCAATCACCTATACACTCTGAGAGAAAAAAGGTACAAAAGCTGTCACTGGGGTTGTATCTTTGATTAAGGTACACCTTTGTACCTTATTTACCCCTAAATAGTAAACATTAGTACCTTAAAAGTACATATTATTACCTAAAGTGTACATGTTAGTACCTAAATGGTACATTTTAGTACCTCTTGAAAAGGTCCCACCTCAGTGACAGCTTTTGTACCTTTTTTTTTCTGAGAATGTAGTAGTAACGCTATAGCAACTCCCTTGTAGTACCCTAGCAACCAGTGTAAAAACAATAGTAATCAACCACACTGAAACTGTTCTAGCAACTGTTTAAAAAACCTTAGCAACATTGTGAAAAAGATGTACACTTTAGCATTCTTTAAAAAAAAAGACTACTCGTTATGAAAATAATATACTTTAACAGAATATACTCAAGTGTGAACTGAGTGTAATGTTTTTGGGCCCTTAATTGCATTTTAATTGTAATTAAATGACAATGTATTATAGTTTAAATTTATATTAAATGCAATTAGTTGAACCTTAGGGTTCTTTTCAGACCCACTTAAATAGGACTTAAGTACATCTTTATATGGAATTTCATCATTTCTTCTGTTGTCTTTGAAATATTGTTAAACTACTGCTGATGTACTGACAAACATTTATGATAAACTCAAATATATATTTTAATATAATTTATTTTGAACCTTATATGTCATATATATATGTAA